TATGTATTTTGATCATATCTCATACACATGTAGCTTCAAAGTTGTATGGCCATACTAGTTTTTGAGTAGCTAAATAAATAGAAAAATAACGCTATATATACCATCTTGAGAATTAGTCACTATGGTGGTTAAATTTATTGGCTTGAGATCTGCCAGAAGATTCGTAAAGCATATTTCTGAGTATGTCTGGTCATGGAGGTGGGACCTTGAGGTCTACATATGGTTTCTGGCCCATTTTTCAATGGCACTGTTCCTTTGCTGTGCTCACCAGCCATCATGAACTAAGTGGCTTTGCTTTGTCCTGCCATATTTCTTTCTTAGATCCCTTTGACCATAGACTGAATCTTTTAAAACTGTGATCCAAACTAGACCTTGCTTTTAATTGTGTTAGGTATTTTGTCTCAGCAAAGGAAACCTGAATAATACAGTCACTAATGCTGTATCTGGCAAGAACTTGATAATTCTCCTTTGCAGTTTTCTTGAGAAAAGTGTCAACTAAATCTGGAAATTCTAAAGCCTCCAAAGGAATGTGACTAGATAAAATATAAAGACAATAGCAGTAACTAAGCCCACACCATCATAATTCTCTCAGGGTCCCACAATCCTCCATTCATTGAATCAACAGTCTTCAATGCATTAGCCAAAAACAAAGAAGTGAATAGGGGACACAAATAGATAAAGAATCTGAAAAGGTGAGTCTTTCTATTGTAAGAGCATATTTTTAATGGAGAGAAAGAAAGAGTTTAATTTCCAAAAGGCCAACAGTATGCAGGCTCTTTACAATTTCTCCTATGTCACATTTCTCTCTGTGTCAGATGATATTGCCATAGCCATTGGCATATTTTGGAAGAGGAAGTTGAATTTAGAACACATTTCTATTTGAGTTTAGTTGGATATATTTACATGGTTCCAGTCACTTTTATGCATAATTATTTTTCCTACCCATCCAAATATATAAATTGGTCACCAACATCTAAGCATCTACTGTGCCAACTCACCTAGAGTCATGGCACAAACTTACAGAACCACAACTTCCAATATAATTTGGGTATATCCTTTTGCACCGAGAACCAGAACAACATGGGCAATAGAGAAGGGAGCTAAATGCTGGTCCATATGTATGGAGCCAGATGCTGTTCTATGGAACATTCTTCCAGTCATAATATGTATGAAATTGTAAAGGGAATTATTCACCTTTCACTGGTGCCTAATCAGAACAAAAGTTCTTCCTAGCTAGGAAATATACCAATAATATATTCAACTCAATAAAATTATAATTTTATAGCTTGTTTCTTATGTCTCTTTCCAAAACCTAGGTTCTCCTCTGTTGTGTGTGAGAGAAGTATGGGACAAAAACATCTGAAGAGGGGTGCTGCTCAACTGGTGCCAATGCCTTTTAGCTGAGAGAGGGCCTTTAAATTAGGTGGGAGGTGTGGTAGCTATTGATGGCTGGTTTATTCCCATATCTTTGAGGGAGCATGCTGCGATTGCTTTTGGGTATGTTAGAATAACTAAAACTTGCAATCTGCTGAGTGTCCTAAGGGGTGGAAACTGTAGCTGGAGTGATCCCCACAGGAATAGGTAGAAAATAGGAGGCAAATACAAAGTAGTCAATTCCTTTTTTTCCCTTCCAGTCTTCTAGCACCCTTCTGGCAAAGTCTAGCAGGAAGCCAATGGCAAAGGTTTTCAGAGTTCCAGCCCCAGTATCACAATGCAGTTATGCAGAAAGGAGGTTACACACTGAGGAATCTGACTGGCTTTAGTCCTTTATTCCTGGGAAGTGTACTCTAATCCTTGGAATTTTCTGAGTAACTCTATGTTATTCATGAGCACTTGGACCACACCTGACTTTAGTCTATTGAGATGACTCAGAGGGTGCTGATCACCAGAAAGACTGAGGAAATGATGAAAAGGATTGGCACTTTTCTCCAGTCTGACCTCTGGGCAACAGAGAGGAGCTGTGGATTGAGTCACATTATCTACTATTTATTCAATTATGGCAATGTAGTGAAACTCCAATAAAAAATGTCCACCAAGATTAAGAGCTTCCTGCTTGGTGAACCCATGAGTATTCCAGGATGGTGATATGTTCTGTTTTTGTGGGGTAGGGGCACAAAACTCTGAATTGAGACTCTTCTTCACTTTACCCTATGTGTCTCTTCATTTGGGTGTTTCAGATTTGCATTCTTCATAATGACATTGTGATTGTAAGTGTAATGTTTTCCTGAGTTCTATGAGTCATTCCAAGAAATTATACAACATGAGTGGAGCCATGGAAACTCCCTGGATTGTGTAGACAGTTGGTTGGAAGTGCAGGTGGCCTGTGAAACCCTGAATTTTCAGCTAACATGTAAACTGAGAGTAACATTTTTGGGCATGTTCTTCAGTGTGTGAAATCTAATACTAAATTGAGGTGATTCACATCAGAAGTGAATTATATTTTAGTATTGAAGGAGATTGAAAAGGCAACTGTTTGAATCTCTGAAGTAATTGCTTAATAAATTTGCTTAATGTGGAAAAACTGTTAATTTTATGACATGATACTATTCTGATTATTTCTCTATATCAAACTGTCCCAAAACATTGCTCACAGATTTGTGAGTCTGGAATTTAAGAAAGGCTCTTCCTCACTCCATGGTGCCTTGGGTATCAGTTGGGGTAACTTGGGTGGGGCCCACTTGTAAGATGGCTTCTGGTTCACATATCTAATATTTGGGCTGGGGGCTCAGTGTGGGATGGTGCTGGGGTTGAACATTGAGCCCAATTGGTTCTGTTTACCACCACATCTACATATGGCCCTTTTATCTTAGAAATCTCAGAGAAGTTAAACTACCTACATGCTGGCTTTAGGGTTGCAAGTGGGAAGGTCCAAATGAGCAACAGCAAAAATCTTATATTTTATTAAGGCTTGATTTGTGGACTAATGTAAAATGTATGTATGTGCACAAGAGAAAAATGTGTATTTTGCTATTGTTGGTTAAAATGTTCTATGTGTGTGTTCAAGTTCTTCTGCCCTTATCTTCGTCTATTCCACCATCCTTGAGAGTGAGATTTTGGTCTGTTATTTTTGTCAAATGTCTACTTCTGCCGTCTAATCCATCAATATTTGCTTCATATGTTTAGGAGCTCTGGTGTTTGGTGCGTATATGTTAATTGTTTTATCTTCTTGATGAATTGACTCTTTTATCATTATATAGTGCCCTTCTTTTTTCTTGTAGTGGTTTTCAGCATAAACTCTACTTGTTGGCTATTATTATAGAAATCCTGCTCTTTTTGGTTACTATCCAAATGAAATGTCTTTTTGCATCTTTTCACTTTCAACCTATATGTGTCTGTACATCTAAAATGAATTTTCTGCACAGTATATAGTTGGATTATCTCAGGGATTTTTATTAATACCATCATTAAATATGAGGAAGAAGACTCACAGAGCTTAGGTAATTTATTGAGACAGCAATAAGTGGTACAGTGAGGTGTTTTGAAGACTCTTTAAAACTCTGAATCAGTATAGGTGAAGTAAAAGATTGGAAAGTATTCCCAGGAGAGGCACAAAAGCATGAGGGGTGTATGTGTGTGTGTGTGTGTGTGTGTGTGTGTGTGTGTGTGTGTGTGTGTGTGTGAGAGACAGAGAGACACAGAGAGAGAGACAGAGAGACAGAGAGACAGAGAGAGCAAGAGAGAGAGAGTGAGAGAGAAAAGATATTTTGACATTCTGCTGTATGAAAGTCAGGACATGAAGCCAGAGGAATGAACAGGATTCAGGTCATGCTAAGAAGCCTAAGTTTTTAGCATGGGGATGATTGAGACCACTTTAAGAAGGAGAGAAGCTCAGATTTATACTTGATACATTTTTATATTGCACTGTGGAGAGTGAAATCAAGGGAGATAGGATTAGAGAGAGGCAGATGTTTAAGAACTCCTGTAATAATGTGAAGAGATATGATGAGATTTTGAAACAGGGCCATTATAGTGGGTGTCTTCCCTCAGGACTTTCCAATTACAAAGCTGGGTACAGACCTTGAGGTACTCCTATCATGTGATACTAAAGATAAACACAATATGAAGCCATAAGTACAACTGCATGTTAAAATTTTTAAAATGTGCCTTTTCAGATTTTTCATTACAAAATTTGGTGTGCATTTTGATATGGGGACTGATTTTAAGGCCTCTGCACTGAGTATATCCCCATCCTGTTTTATTTTTTTGTTTTGAGAGAGGATGTTTCTAAGTCAGAGCTGCCCATGCTGGGCTTGAACTTGTGACCTTTCTGCCTCTGCCTCCCAGAGTGCCTGTATTGCAAGTGTGTGCCACTTCTGGCTCTGTGTATGTTTCTTGGAGTTGCGTTTTTTTCCTTCTTTGGTTACCTCTACTTCACTGGTGCTCTTTGTGTGAGTTGGTATGCTATTTGGGTAATCCGGTTCTAGTGGCAGCACACCAGGCTAATGGATCATGATTGTAGAGTTGAGCTTGTTGGCACTGATGTATTGACTACTGTATTATTATGCTCATCCTCTAAATTGTGAAAGCAAATCTCTACACTCTGAGGCCAAATGGAAGCAGAGCACTTGAGAATAGATGTTGTAGTGATAAGGAATTTGGAGCCAGACTGCCTGGGTTACAGTCCAACTTCACAATTACTATCTTGTGACCCTGGTAAAACACAAATATACAAACAATAAACAACAACAAAACCTCTCTGTACATTAGCTTCTACATCTGTAAAATAGGGGCAGTAATAATGTCTGAATCCCAATTTGCTATTAAGCACTAAGAGATTAGTATCTATAAAGTAATTAGCATAGTGCTTGGCATATATTAAGCACTCAATGACTAGAACCTCAGGGCTTATTCTTCCAAGCTCTTCTACTCTCCATTCTAGAACTCAGTTAGTTCTAGGGCTCTAAAGGTCCTCAGAATGTTGGTGATTCTGAAATATTTATCTTCAGCCCTGATTCTTCTCTGAGTTCCAGGGTTGAATGTCCAATTGTCTATTCATGACTCCCTATTTTATGATGACCTTGAACATTTGATAACATGAGTTGCTGGTATAGGGAAACAATAACAGGATATGACTCAGTTCTTATCTGATTTCCACTAACAAGGTATATGACTGGACTAGTTTCATCGTCTGAACTAGATCTATGAGCTCCCATCCATTCTGCACTTTTAGAGGTAAAGGTGATTTGCAATCAATTCAAGGAACATCACAAATAGAAGATACTTTTCTATCTTATTCTTCTCTATGGTCCCTTGGTGCTCCAAGGCCAAGACCAGTTTGTCCTGTAGGTGAGCACAGTGGTGGTAGCTTCACGATGCAGCAGAAAGGGTTCACACTCTTATTAGACTGGTTTGGAATTCTAGCTCTATGACTTGTCCCATTGGCAAAGTAATTTAACCTTTGTAACCTCCATATCCTTGTATAAATCAGTCTTGTGTTTGTTAGGATGCATCTGGCTATGAGTAATTGATAACCAAACTGAAAGTAGTTTGATGAGCAAGGACATGTATCATTTCAACACAGTTTTAGATAAGAAGCCTGGCATAGGTGGTTCCTGGGTTAGTACCACCTGGTTCTTGATTTTTCCCCATGATCCAAGATGCCTGCTGTAGAATAATGTCAGAAGACAAGAAGCACAGAGCAGGGCTTCTCCTTGTCTAACCTCTTCTTTTGTCAGACAGAAAATTCTTTTTAAAAGACCCAAGCAAAAATTTCCTCAGGTTATGTTGGGCAGAACTGGATTTCCTGTTTATGTTTCAGCTACAAGGGATCCTGAGAAAGCCAGCATGAGGCATCTGTAGCCTCTGTCAAGTGGAAGTCAGCCCTGTTCACAAGGAGAAAGAGGGCAGTGACTTCTGAGCACATACACAAGATGTCTGCAACAAAATCTAACTGAGTATTATGAAAAGCAAATGGATGGATTATTTATTTAATTACCTTACATTAATCCTTAGGTTTACCAAATGCTTATATGGTGCTTATATTCCAGGCACTGTTTACAATCAACCCATTTACTCTTTTAAAACTGCATGAGTGTGGCACTATTATCATCTTTATTTTATCGGTGAGGAAACTGAGGCAATGAGAAATTAAAATAACTGTCTAAGGACTCACAGCCCATAATGGTGGAGGTAGGAGGCCTGCCCAGCTCTAGAACCTGTGTTGTTTAGCCCTGTAACAAAGTGTCTTTCCAAAACATGTGTTAAAGCATCACATGGGGTAGCCTGCTGGGGTGTGCTAGTTCTTCATCCCTCCTCTGATTCTGCCACAAAAGCATTTAATTCTCTGGTGGAAGAAATAATAGGAAGAGCAGAGGAGAGCACTTCAAACACCCCTTTTCTCCTACTCACTCCAGTTTTCTGTGTTCGTTCTCAAGGGAATGTATAAGATCTATTTCAAAATTTTTATTACTATTTTATTGGTTTTTAGATATGTATTAAAAGGTTTTTTTTTCTCACTTCTGATTTTTGAAAGTTCAGATCAATGGAGAATAAATATGTTCTCTTTCTAAGTATGTATAGAAATCAGTTACTGGAGAAACCAATGAGGTCTGTGGGAATTGTCTTTGAACACTTTCTTTTCCTTGAAGGAGGCAGCTCAGAATGTAGAGAAGCCTGCAACAACTCTGTCTTACGGTGAGATCACTTTAAAATATGGTATTTTGAATACATTGTAAATTAACCTGATTTGGATGGCATTTGAGCACGGTGCTTCTTGTAATGACTTCTGCTGCCACATTCACATAATGAGAGTGAGGTCATAATGAGAGAGGGGGTCATTGTCTGGAGCGTTGCCTTGCCTAAGGACCTGGAGGAAGTGAGCCACACATGTGTGACACAAGCCAGCAACTCAGGAAGGAACAGGAGAGGACCAGCACATGTTCCCTACCTTGGGACACCAAAAACATAAAAACAAGGTCATGTGTCCACACAATGAAGAAAGGAGCCTCTGGAAAAGGAGGAAAAAACAACCAAATATAACTCTACATAAAGGTGACCAGGAAAACATCCTCTTTAGCTTGACAGTCCTCCAAGAATAACACATGAGTTCATCAAGTCCAAGTTGGGGGGAAAGTTAAAAGCATTAACCAGCTAATTTAAACATTAAGAAGTGTATTTCTCATCTTCACACAGAGGAATGTTCCAGAGCATATCCTCATAGCGTAGAGCTAGCTCCCTAAAGCAGGAGTTTCCTGTAGAGACAAAACAGCTGCACCTCTGATAATTCCTTGGATATTAGCAAAAACACTTGCTAAATATAGGTGCATGTCAACAAGTCATAAATAAGGGAACAGGAGTGGGAAATGCCATACAAAAGGTGAGTGGGCAAGAATAAAGGCATCTTCTGCCAAGACAATTACACATGCAGCATTGAAATTAATCTATGAGTCATTTAAAAATCCAAATGCCAAATAAGAATAAAACTACCATGGAGGAAACTATTACACAGCAGGGCGGAAAGCAAACTATGACATAATATCTCTTTCTACCACTCAATTCCATAGCGTAGAAAGAAAACACATCCAGGTGGCAAAGAGGTGCTCAGCCTTGGTCTGATATTTTACTTACATTTTTTCTTTCTTTGCTGAAGGTTCCTTTAAGGGAAGTGGTAAGAATCGTATCTCAGTGTCCCTTAGGGATGTGGGATACTGGCTACATAGCCACTGAATTTAAGTACGTTGGGACTCTTCAATTTGGACCAAGCTAGGTCAGATCATTGTTCTGTTCTCAACCCAAACTCAAATATGTGATGACCAATTTCCACTCTTCCCTTCTATCCTGATCAAGTCTTCTTATGCTCTAAACAGTCTGTACTTAGTAAGTGCCATGTGTACACAGTGTTGGCTTTGGCTGTACCCATAGCATATCAAACCAAGTATGCATGGTCTCTTCTAGTTAGACTTTGTCTAAAGAGGCTTTGACATGAGAAGATGGAAAATAGTAGATACCCCTCCCATAAATTTAAATAATTCCTGCTGAACGTAAAAAGAATCTTGTCTTAATATCCCAGGGAAAACTTGGTATCTAATACCACAAATATAGCATATGATGCCTAAATTGAAATCTATCAAATAGCTCTTAGATGCTCAAAGAAGCATAGAAATAAATGTTTAGATACCTTGTGTATAAACTAGGTGCAGTGGCACACAACTGTAATCCCAGCACTTGGGAGGCTGAGGCAGGTGAATTGCTGAGTTCAAGGCCACCCTAGGCTACATAGTGAGTTCAAGGCCAGCCTGAACTGCAAACTGTCTCAAAAAAACCCCTGATATAAAAGATACATGTTCATATCATTTGATAAATCCTTAATCTAGTACTACACATTAGTGACTGCTACTGAGATAAGTTAAGACAGGATAAAGCTAAATAATGAAAGGAGGGGGTAAAAAATACCTGATAAGTAGATAGATAGACAGATTGGTGATCGATTGGCTGTTCTATAGGGTTTTGGCAATCTTGGTGATTTATGAATCTCTGCTCATTCATTCAATTAGATTGGTTCCCTTGCATTAGACTGTGTGTGGAAAAGCACCTGGGCAACATGATCTATTCTTTATTAACCAGAGATTTTGATAGAGAGCTTCTTTCATCCTCTCAGCACTGTGAATGACAAAATGTCCCCTACTCATTATTTTCAGTGGAAACTCTGTCAAATGTATCTCGTTGGACTTCATCTCTTGCCATGGAGAACCTCAGTGCTGGGTCTAGTTGTTGGGTTTGTGGAATGAACCATGTGCAAAGAATGAATGGATATGAGAAAGTGGAGAGCTCTGGAGTCTTTTCTGTTCAAGATTTGAAATTGCTTATCATATATGCAGGTGCAGAATTAGGCACTTGGAATAAAATATAAACCAAAAGTGGTAGCTATTAATTATCTTGGTCTTTAAAGAAAGAAAAGATTAACTGCACTTACTTGTCCCTGCCTACAAAAAGGGGATGCTGTGGTCCTCAGACCCTAGGAATGGCTGTGTTGACTTTCCTCTTATTCTCATTGCTGACACTCATTGGCCCTGATGGTGTGGCTGAGTTTTGCTGAACATGCTGTGTCTGTCATTTCCTGTATGTCTCCCTTGGCTCAATATTTTGAGCCGCACTGGGAACTACCCAAAAGTCGGGTTTAGCAGAGTGTCCTTAAGGGATGGACTTTAATGTATTTCTGGGAGGAGTGTCTTGAGATAAATGCACAAAACGTTGAAGTAAGCATTCAGCCGAGCATTTTGGTTCAAAGGAAACTTTTCTCCTTCCTCTCAAATCTTTTGCTTCCCTGCCCACAAGACCTATACTCCGGTGTGGGTTGTTTCAGAGAGTGAATTCCAGCTTTTAGGGCCTGTCCTATCTCTGCATGTTCTGGGGTCTTTGGTTTGTTTCCTTCTTTGATTGAAGGGAATCCCTATGGAAATGATGTTTTTTGACAATCTAAGAAATTATCAACTTTAAGATAACCATTTTTTGTGTTTCTGCTAAGAATGAAAAAACATGCTATCAAACTTGTGTCATGCCACAGATTGCAAATGAATCCCAATTTCAAAGATGTTAAAATAGCTACAGAAAGTGCATTTAAGGTTTGAGGGGCAAAAAGATTTGAAGAAATACATATCCATCGTATTCTAGGACTCACATATGAAAATTTGGGGTCTAATGAGCACATACAAGTAAAGCTGCTTCTCTTGAATCTCAATTACTTTCTCACTGCTAGGACAAAATACCAGACACCCATGAGTTAAAGGAGGCAAGATTTATTTTAACTCCCAATTTGTAGAGCTATTAGTCCATAGTTCACTGGTTCCAAGACAAACAGCATGGCAGGGTGGAATGACAGAGGAGACATAATTTAGGGTGTAGCAGGCAGAAGGCAGCCAGCAGTGATCCTCCCTTTCCCTTTTAGTCCATTCAGGCTACGAGCCTATTGGTTCGTGCCACCTATACTCAAGGTGGGTCCTCTGTCTTCAGCAAATCCATTCAGCCATACCCAAAACTCCATTAAATGAATCAGTGGGCTAGCACAGTTATCACACCCATAATCCAGAAGCACACATCAATGATCCAGCCACCTCCCAAAGGCCCCACCTGTGAGAGCATGAGGCTTTAAAAGGACATCTAGATATAAGTCATAACACTTTGAAAAACTCCATTAACGCCTATCTCTACAAAGTTTATGTGACTGGGACTTCAGGACAAGATTTTATGAGAGACTTTTTTCAAATGTTGCCCATGTTAGTAGCTATTAAATAGGACTGATGAATCAAGTCAACAAACCCCCAGTCCACTTGGCATTTTCTCTGTCTATGACATGGCAGAAAGACGATGAGCAAAACAGATAACAACAGCAATAACAACACAGGAGCAGTAAGGGTGAGCATAGGAAAGCATAGGTGTGCATCAAGCTGTACCTGCTTTTAGAATGCTGTTGTATCATGTTGTTTGCCGTGCCTCCCAAGCAGTGTTGAGGAAGGATTCACATGGTCTTTGGTTTGAGAAGGATGGGATGGGGAGGGTGGCCCTAAGTGTTTGTAGCTCAATTTGCTTGTATACATCAAAGTGTGTTTCAAAACTGAAACAACGATAAATATATAACAACTCTGAGTGTTTCTAACACCTATGTAAGATTTCAAGAGTAACGAAAGATGAACCCAATAAGCACAGGAATAGAACTATTATTTTTGAAGCCTATGTCTGACATCCCCAAATGGTAATCCCTTCTCCTTCTCTCCTGAAGTATTCACTATCTTGAGGTCTTGTTGGTCATCCCTTTGCTTTTCCTTATGTATAGCTATTCCTAAATAATCTTACATGCTTTTTTTTGCCTGTTTTAGAATTTTAGGTAAATAATTCACATTGCATATCTTTCTCAGACTTGCTTTTTATTTCTCAATGTTTTACATTTTAGATTTAACCGCACTGATGTGTAGACAAATTCCGTTTCGTTGTATGACTCTGGTAATCCATTCACATGTTCTCCTTTTTGGATATTGACTTGTTTTGCTTTGAAAACAATGCTACTGTGAATATTTTTGTATATATTGCTTGGTAAGTGTGAGCATGCGTTTCTCTTGCAAGTATGTGTGTGTGTGTGTGTGTGTGTGTGTGTGTGTGTGTCTGGGAGTGGCTATATCTCTGGGAGTATTTGGGGGTGTGTATATACAGGTTCAGTTTTACTAGGGAATAGTCAGTGATATTCCACAGCAGAGTAACAATTTTGGCTCTCCCAGCAATGTGTGAGAGTACTCATTATTCTGCATCCTTACTCTTACATCTTCCTAACACTTGATGTTGTCATATTTAATTTTTTTCTGCCTACCTCAAGGGAGTGAATGATATCTCATCGTGCCTCATTATGCATCTTTCTGATTAGTACTGAACATTTCCCCATATGCTACTGGGCATTAATTTGGTGTTATCTGTGAAGTCTCTCTTCATCTCTTTTGCCTGTGAATTATCTGTCCCTGCCTCGGCTGTCTTTTTCTTGTTTACTTGTAGAAGTTCTTTGTTGTATGAGTATTAATTCTTTGTTAATTATAGGAATTGTAGATATCTTCCCTCAGTTTGAGTCTTGTATCTTGATTCTCTTTCTAGGACTTCTGATGAAAAGAAATTAATTTATTTCAGTCTACCTCTACATTTTCCTTGTAACTTCCTCTTTGGGTAAATTTTTTAAATGATTCTTTTTCTATTCCAAGGCCACAATTTTTAAAAATTAGAATGTTTTCTCTTCCATATGTCTTTGATCTATCTGTAACTGATTTTAGTGAGTAGTGTGGGGGATTCACTACTTCCTCTCTTCAGTCTCTCTCTCTCTCTCTTTTCTTTCTTCTTACTCCCAACCTTTCTCCCTCCTTCCCACCCTCAATCTGGTCTTTCCTTCCTTGTGTCCTTTCTTATGTTCTTTGCTTTTCCTCCCTTCCCTTCCATTCTCTTCCTTTCCCTTTCCTTCCCCCTCCCGCCCCCTGCCTCCTTCCTTCTGTGCCTCCCTCCCTCCCTCCTTTTGCTTATTGCTAACTCATTGCCTATCACTGAAGCATTTTTTCTTTTTCCACTTACTTGAAAAATCAGATTTTCTATACATGTATGGGTCATCTCAGATCTAATTCTGTTCCATGGGTTATTTGCCCCTATTCAATACCATAGCCTTATTTATAATGACTTCTTAATTAGTTTCTGTCTGATAGAGCACATTATAGTTTTTAAATCTGGAATCTGAGTTGTTCAAGGGTAGGCTGATTGATAAATGTAAGATTTCCTTAAAGCAAATGAACAAACACACAAACTGTCAAGAATGTTGGCTTCCAGGTTTTCTTAGGCATTGGTGCAGCCTAAGAAAATGAAAACCTATGACAAAAATATTTTCCTTCAGTGGCCCAATTTGTGTCAAATGCACATTCTTTCTTTACAAGCATACAACAGAGAGCTGAGATTCACTTTGGCGAGACACATGACTACATGTTCAGAGGTGTGCACATACCTGGAGTTCTGTCCTTATGGGAGCTAGAAAGGAGGTGGTTGAAAAGTTGGTGACAGGCACTTTTGTACCTTTATAGTCTTTTCCTACAAGAATACTGTGCTCACTTTCCTGTCCCAGTCACTCCAGTTTCTCCTCTGAGTGAGAAAGCCCTGCCTTCAGCACTAGCGCACCCAAGTTGATCACATTTTATTTCAATGAAAAAAGAAATAATGGAATAAAAAATAGAGTTCTCCCTTGGTTCTCCCAAAGATGCCTTCCTTGGAGTTATCTAAAGTTTATCAGCAAAATAACTTTGACTAAGTTAAATGGCGATGTGTCACACACCCAAAACGTGTGAAGCAATTTGAAAAAATATTTTAAATATGCCATGGATTTGTAAATTAATGCAGGGCTCACTGTGCTTGAATTTCCATTTCTAAACTGCTTCATTTGCATGCAAAGAGTGGGCAATTTTTGTGTGTGTGAAAATTTAGCCTTAAGAAATGAAAATCAAAAACTCAGCAACTTGAAAAGAGCTGTTAGGCATAAAAATTGTTTAATCGGTTTCCAGCAGGGCCAATGGTGTTGGCATTTTGAAATACCAGATTGGATTGGCATCCTAGGAAAAAAAAAAACCCCAGCTCAGAAAAAGTCGCCTAAAAAAGCCACCATCTACAAAGTGGTGAAAGAAGATAGCCGAGATATGACAAATGCCAATGAAACAAATTCTGCGATCGAGAGCGAGCCTGAAGTGTGAAATGAACAAATGTTAAATGTGATAAAATCGCTGTCAGTGCTACCCCAATCATCTACTCTGACAAATACAATGCTCGATCAGAAAATCAGGTGCTTTTGTCTGTGCTTTTGTCCTGTCCCTTGTGGGGGTTTTAAGATATCCAAGCCAGGTGGGGAGCATCTTCCAAGCGAGGTTCTCACTTTGGGTGCCTGTTAAATGGGCACCTAATAATTGCCTCTTTGACAAGGTTGAAATCCCCAATTTAAATTTTTCCAGGGTTTTTAAGATTCAAGTTGAAAATAACATGTCATTTAAACACAGCTCTACATTTTGTCATACTTTTGTAGTTTAGATCTTTTTTCTGTTTTGTTTTTTTTTTGTGTGTGTGTAGCTCAGATCTTAAAAACCAGGCAAGCATATCACATTTTATTAGAGACCATATTTCTTACCTATCATGGCTCAAATGAATATACAGTTAGGTTGACCCGTGTGTGATGGAGAGGGTGAAAATAGAAAAGATATAATAACAAAGCTTATTCATGTTACTTATCACATGCATTTCCTGGGTGCCTGTTCTGTGTTGGGTACTATCGTAGGGATGGAGGATGCAAAAATGAAGAAGAACCAAGCCCTGGGCTCGGAAGAAGCTCACAGTCTTTGCAGTGACTCTCTTTCTAGTGGGTTTTACACTAGAGGTTATCTCATCTTGTTATCTAGTTTTCTCCCAAGGGGCTAGATGAATATGAAAAAAAAAAAAAAAAAAAACAACCCAGATAGCAAGGCAGATGCTACTTGTTTTTAGTCCGTGCCCATGGAGGAGGAAGCAGTTCAAGGAGTATGATATTGTCATTCAGTATTTGCGTGAGATGTTTTCTGAGCATCATTGTCTTGGACCATTGACTGTTATGATTTCCTTTCTTTGGGCTAGTGGTGAAATCTTTGGCTTTGAATAGGAGGATGGAGTTGGGGGGGATTCAAACTAGGTTCTCTGAGTCCCATCATGTCTGAAACAGAATTCTCAGAACATGGCGTTCTCAGTACGAGGCATAGAGAAGGTTAAGGCAGCAGCATTAAAGAAGCACATTCAGAGAGAGTCCAGGCCCCTAAAGGAGAGGTACTCTAGGGTCTGGAGGTGGCTATGTGTGTGTGCTGCTGTGGGTAGGAATCTTTGGAATTTGTGAATGAATACAAAGCACAGGCTCAAATTATGGGTGCAAGGCTGATTTTACAGGAGAACAGCACATTGTATTGTAATTTTTTTTTTTCTTTAAGATTTAGAAATTTACCCTGAAGGAAAAAGAAAATACTTTAAAAAATGTTTTGATGGTCCTGGGCATGGAAGCCAGGGCCTTCACACTGAGCTACATCTCCAGCCTTTTTTATTTTTTAATCTCTTAATTTTTGAGACAGAGACTTCCTAAGGCACTAAATTGTCCAGATTGAGCTTGAACTTGCAGTCCTTCTGCTCAGCCTCCTAGATTTCTGGTGTTATGGACACGAGCCACCATGACCAGTTCCTATGTTTATTTCTTTTATCCTATCTCAGATACCATAACTTCGTCATAATGAAATCATTTCTATTTGTGTTATCACTGAAAAAGAACAAAGCACATAGCCCAATCCTTTAGGACACCAGTTCTAAATTCTTAGCAGAATGTTCGGTACATTTCTGTGTTTGTTGATCGAATAAATGACAATTCAGGGATGGCAGATGTAGAACTAGACCATTGTAGAAAAATTCTCCATGTCATAAAGTGCTGTAGTACAGTCTCAAAATAAGGTAGAACCAAACAGGAAATGAGGATGAAAACTTACCATGCATGTGTTCAAAACCAATAAATCCTAGGCTATGCTGTTAGAGAGACAGAAGAAAAAAATCATAGATTTGGGGAAAGGAAACTTCCAGGGATGGGTCCCTGGTAGAGATTCCGAAACATCACCTTTTCTTCCTTTCTGGGTGTTGTGTAAACTGAGCTATTCATGGAGTAGATGGCTCTAGCCAGTCCTGAAGGATCGAAACTTGGGTTATGTTTCAATGGTTAACAATTTCCTCACTACTGAGTAATCTTATGATGTACCAACCCTTGGTGGATATGAAACAATAAGTTTTATGGTTGCACATATACAGGGTATGTATCCCTATATCTAAGTTTTATCCTCAAAGAAGCAGAATTGAATTTTCTTTGTAAAAGATCCTTACATGTTCAAAATGATAATCAATTAGCGTTTGACAAATACTTCAAGACGCATGTCCACTGGGCCTGGGAATCACCCCGTATAAAGCTGCTGGGACTCCAGCTTGACTGTGGCTCGCCAAGAAGGTGAGGGGGGACACGGGGTGACCAACAGCTTTTCCTTCAGTGACACGACTCCAAATGAGCCGCTCAGATCATGAAGAATACTTCTGGCTTTTAGGGACAGAACATCTGACTTGTGGTGGGCTAGGGAATAAATACTTAACTTTGGAAAATGGCAAGAGATATGGATGGAGACAGTTTTAGGTTGTGTTATGGCTCAGCAAAGCCGTAAACACCTAGAAGCCATGATTTTTGTAATAATCATGTGACACCATTTTTGCTCTATTGGTTTTTATTTGTTTTGTGATACAGAGAATCCAACCCAGGAGACCTCTACCACTGATATATATCTCCAGCTTTTTTTATTTTTTAGCTTGAGACAAGGTATCACTAAATTACCCAGGTGGGACTTGAACTTGTGATTCTCCTGCCTCAGCTTTCCTTGGTGCTGGAGTTATGAGAATGTGTTACCATACCTGACACTGTATTAGCCCTTTGCTCTTGTGGTTGTTACCTCATCTTTGCAATGTGGTTGCCTGAGCTCCAGACATTCCACCCTCAATTAGTACCATAAGCAGAAACTGAGGATTTTCCTCGTTACTTCTCACTGGCCATAATGGGATCACATACCCATTCTATACCAGTAGCATAAGAAGAATGGGAACGCCAGGAGTTGCTGGACGAGTCAGTCATTCCTCACTTTCAGGCACTAGGAAGAGGCACCCCCTTTTCTGAGCTGTGGGGTATTTGGTTGCTGCCTCAAGTCACTGTCAAGAGTTCCATGGTCAGGAAGGAGGGTTATGAGGTGTGGGCTGTGTTAGCATCAGGTGGGAGAGAAATGAGCAAAGCAGCATAAAAGCTAGACAGTGGGAGTGGGTCAGACAACGGGGCCTGGAGAGAGAGGAATCTGGATTGCATCCTGTCTTGACTACTTAACATGGCTGTGACCTTGGGCGAGTTACTGAGCTCCTTGCTGCATAGCTGCATGTGTGTAATAATGCCTACTTTTAAGGGAGTTATGGGAATAAATGAGGTCGTGTGGACAAAGCACTCAGCTTACAGCTAGGTGTGTGGCAGAGGATTAATAAGCAGAGGTCTTTTAAATTCCCCAGCTGGAGATGAAGAGGCTCCTCTGCAGCCACGTGCGGCTATGGCTTTGAAAGAGAATTATTTAGAAGCTAGGAGGTCAAACTTTTAATCTTGCCTATTCCTTTGACCTGCTAAGCATCTGTGACTGTCATTTCCCTTTTCTGGGCCTCAGTTTCCTCAAATGTAAGGTAAGGATCAGGGCCAAGTGGTCCTCTAAGTCCCATTCAGCTCTGACCTTCTCATTTAATGGTGTTTTTTCGGTAGAAGGCAGCTAGTGACATGGGTCCCTTATGAAATTCATTGCAAAGCCAGGCAACCCATTTCCTGCACCTTCCCAGCACTGGTGCTGCTGTCCACAGGCAGGTGGGGCACGATTCAGGGACTGGGGCCTTCCTGTGCTTCAAAAGGATTGGTGGGTCCACCATGGTACTACAAGCAGCCACTAGAATGAGTCAGATGCTTCGACCTCATGTCTGGATGTGTGAGGCTTCTGTCCTGCTGCCTGGCAAGGTTTGATTTTACATTTGGAGCTCAATGGGCTATTCATAAGCTTTCTGAGTTAACTTTATTCTTATTTAGTTTCAATAAAAACAAGGCAAATGCATAATGAGCATCTTAACAATAAATAAATTAGAACTTGAGATTGCTGTAACAATATACACTGTTAGAAGAAGACTTGAAGAACACAGTCTAAAAATAAAGGCAAAACCATAAACACACTCTCTTTTCTCTCTGGAAATAAAAAACACATCAATGGATTTCTGACAAAGGAGGAATAATGGAAGGAACTAAAACTTTTCCTCCCACCTCGTAGTGGGAAGGTAGTTGCGTGGAGTTGGATGGGGAACAGTTGTGTCCCAAACAATGAACTTGCCCTAGAAGGCTTGATTATGAGTTCCACTTAAAAACAGCAACATCAACAAAGATAAATGTAAAACGGATGTTAGGGCATTTGAAAAAGCTGCAACCTATGAAGACGAAGCAGGCATTTGCAAAATACTATTCCAATCAACGGAATTGTTTCCTTCAGAACAACTCTCGGATGCCCCCCATACTCTGTCCTGGCACAGCTTGGAAATTGTCTTTCTTCTTGGGGGGATACAGGGCTGTTCAAACACTTCATGAAGCCCGTCATGCTCTAGAAAATCCTGTCACTGTGGAATAATCAGCCTCAGATTGAACATTACAAATTTTCCAAGGCTTGTTGCAATTAGGGAAACTTGGGGCTAGTGGCAAAAGGCTTGGGAGTTCCTGGTGAGACCAGGTGGACCCTGAGCAATGGGAGCCCACGGAAAAGCCACAGGCACGGGTCCCCCTAGCCCTCGACACTGGCTCCTACTATGCCCACAAAGGTGCTCCACATACTTGGACCGAGGTGTAGCACAGGACAGGGGTAGGTATTAATAATCTCTTTTCAGTTTCTTAAAATCACTTCATGGCAATGTCGTTTGTGGTCTAGATATCCAAAGAAATAAACTATAAATGCCCAAACACAAATAAACCAAACATATCATGAAGTGAGATGACGATATCACAAAAAATATGCTTCTATGTTAAGTATGTTATAGGAGGAAGTAGATCTGGAACACAGATATTAAAAGTATTTTAAAGTTTGAAACTGCACACTTATGTGGAAATGCACAGCACAGGACAAACCTGAATTTTAACTCTGCTGTCTGTTTCTGTGGTGAATATGATATGACATTT